AGTATTAATGCTGATGAAGTTCTTGAGCCATTCAGCCTCTCCCAATTCTCCTAATTTGTAGCCATTTCCCAGTTTTACTCTACATAAATTCAGAAGTTATGAAATTGTAGCTCCGCTCTAGAGTACAGTTCATTCTGGAAAAACAGGCCCAGGACTATAATATCTTTAAAAAATTTTAATCAGTAAGAAACTGGTCATGGATAGAGAGGAAATAAGGTGTAATGGATAAGAGTGTGGGCTCTGGAGCTGAACCAGCCTGGAAGCAATTCCTGGCTCTGCCACTTAATAGCTTTGTGACTTTGGGGAAGTTATCAACCTGTTTGGTGCCTGTTTACTCCTCTGTTAAATGGGAAAATAATTGTGCATATAGGGTTGCTGTGATAAGTAAATGAGTTAAAATATACTTGTAGCATTTAGAGTAGTAAGAAGCTGGTGTAAGTAGTAAATATATATTTGCCATGGTTAATATTATTATGTCCTAGTGAAATGGGGAGGTTTCAGGCCTTGATGGATGCTATACCCTAAAGAGGAGGGCACCGGCACCAAGAAAGCCAGCACTGCAGGGCCTGGTGACAGTAGGAGGCACAGAAAAGAATACTCTTAGGAAAGCCTGAGCCCAAGTGCCAAATTCTAGTGAGAAGGCTCAGGTTCAACCACTGACCTTGAAATTGCCATCAGAGAGTTCCTTCAAAATTTGACAGTATCCATTATAGATTCTTGGGTTCCGAGATACAGCCTCTCTGCCAGCCTGTTTCAAAACTTATTTGGTGTGGATGACATACTAACACAGGCCGAGTCATTAATAGGCTATTTGTTCTGTCTCCTGGACCTCTGGGTGGCACTGTACAGACATGTCCAGCTTGGCAGGCAGCTGGCATCTTAAAGGTCCAGGTTGTTGTCAGATGGACAGTCACTAAACAGAGTCTCTCCCCACCTGGCGGTGTGTGCTGCAGTGCACGTAGCCTCAAATGCCTCGTATCTGTGCCTGGGCAATTGCATCCCAACTACCCTGCTTAATTCCAAGACAGCTGGAGCTGGCTGGGACCCAGTGCTTGGGGAAGGAGCCAGGCATTTCTCCTCCTTTCATCCTTTTTGATTCCACAGCCATTTGCTTCTAAGCTGGGCTCTCACTGCAATGTCCAGGATGGGAAAACAAACCTGAAAGGCAGGAATCAAACAAACTGTGTTTGCTTGTGGAGCTGTCTTTCGCCTTCTGAAATGAAGCCAAAAGGGCCAGCTTTTGCCTTCCAGGACAAAATATCTAGAAGCAGTGTGTCCTTCTGTCCTCAGCCGCTGCCTGTCCTGTGAGCCTATTGTATATACCTACACATTCGTAGTGCAGTCTGGCCTGACACTCAAATTGATATTTTAATACTAGTATGGGATTCAGAGTTTGAGTGTGAAAAATGCATGTCTGGGCATGGTCTCTTGGCCAGGCCCCATGGTTTGTTTTCAGCCCACCCAGCTGGTCCCCAAAGTTGGCTCCTTGTGTTAAGAAGTGATCCCATGTAGTCTGATAACAGATGGTTTATGACAACTCATCCTGGTTTGGGAAATCTCCAAGCTAATGTTCTCTTATCTTGGCAAAGAGAACCATGTTTGAATACTAACACTTGGTATCATTTCTTGAATACATGTTATACCTCAGGCAGCCTGCTGAGGGTGCTTTATGTAGTGATTTCCTGCAGTTTCTCCCATCTCCTTCTTATGGAGGTCCCGTGATCAGCTTTGCCTGACACTGGAGGACACTGAGATGCCGATGGCATTAGGTAACTTGCCCAAGGCCACCCGGCTAGGAAGTGGTAATGCCAATATTTGAACCAGGCAATTTTATCTGGGGCACACTTTACCCACCATAGTGCCCACTGCTATGGCATCTCTCTGCTTAAGTCTCTTTAAGGATTGAACCAATGCTCGAGAATGATCATCCTGTTATCGTCAGTTGTATCAGCTAGCAGAGGACAGAAGCTTCTTCTGGTTGATGCTTTTGGCTAATTTGCTACATCCTTAATGTTAGAGATAGTAATGCACACTTGAGTTATTTCCTCATTGATTTCTACTACTTTGGTTCAACAGATATTTAGTAAGCACCTACTTTGTTTCAGCCATTATACTAGACCCAGAAAATAGGGCCAATACAGAGTACTTGCTTTCAAAGAACTTACACTCAAAAAAGATAAATAATCTTCCCATATTCTCAAGATGGCACACAAGGCCTCCTGAGATGGGCCCTGCCTTCCTGTTCAGTCCCACCCTCCGCTTTTATGTCCTTTTATTTGTTGAGTTTCTGAACACCTCAGAGCCTTTGCACCTTCTGTCCCGCCAGCCTGAAATGCTCCACCCCTTTGCCTGGTTAACTCCTCCTAAATCTTCAGATCTCAAGTGAAATCGCTATTCTGTAGGGAATTCTCTCATAGTCCCACAGATTAGGCCGGGTTCCCCCTGTTACATCTCATCATAGCTCCCTCTGCTTTTAATTTTTGTAATTATTTGATTAATCCACCAGTGTTTATTGTTTACCACCTTATGCCCAGCACACAATAGGTGCTCACTAAATACTCTAAAGTGAATGAAGATTATAAATTAGTTATTAAAGAAAAAACGGGGGTATGTCAATCCCTAGTCCTCCAAGAAGAGGATATTAAGGAATAAACGTGCCAGGACTTTATTCAGGGGAAGACATGTGCACATAAAATGGGGAGAGAGCTGGAGGAAGCGGGGTAGATCCTCAGGCTTTGATGGAAGTCTGATCTTAGAATGGAGATGGACAGAAAGGAAGGTGAGGAGGACCACATTATACTTTCTGGTGTAGCCTGAGGGAAGTTCAGCAAGGCCATTGAGGAGATCACCAGCCAAAGGTGAAGGTCAGAGGAGCCCTGTCTCCCAGGGCTGCAAGCTTCAGTCTCTGTGCCGCACTTGCTCAAGGTGTGGCAGCTGCAGGTGGAGTCCAGGGCACAGCAGCAAGGGCCACTCATCCGTCACAACCCTGGAAAGTAGACGTCTGGGGGATCCCTTCTGGCTGCCCTGTGGCAGGTGAGGAAAGAGGATAGGACTTCTGGTAATGAGGAAGAGAAAAATTAGCAAAGGTGTGTCTTCTACAAAAGGAAGGGATATCTTAATTTTGAGGTTCAGTAAGCATTTATTGAACATATACTATTCTTTGAGACTGTGGAAGACACTACAGAATTGACTCACTATGCATGGGCTCTTCTCAAAAAGCTTATCAGCTAGTTAAGAAACAAAATTAAATTTCATGCTCTAGATCCTTAGTTTTCCAATTTCTAAAATGAAGAAACTCAGCCTACCTGGTGTGACATGTGACAGTTAGATCCAGTGGCTTTTGTGAATAGAGTAGGTGCTCAACAAATAAGATTCCAACATGAGTTTAAAATAATGATTTGTTTTCTTTAGTTCTTCTAGTGACTTCAACAGGGCTGATAGTGTTTTAAGTTTTCGATGAAACTTTTGGCTCAAGATGTGTACTTTTCTTGCGTTACTTTCATAAACAGTCCTTTGAGGCTTTTTCTTTAAGAATATTTCAAATAAAAGAACCGCAGTTTAAGTACGTGATCAGCACCAAGGGAAAATTTGGTATCGAATTACCACATGTAAGGAAATCTCTGGGGAGAGGCTCTTGTGGTGTGTGCTTAGCCCAACGAGCTGACTGTGGGGTTGGTTTCTTAACTCTTGACCCCAAGGCAGTTGTTCAGTTTGTTTTCTGTTAGAGCACAGACATTGGGACACTGCTGAGTCAGGGATCTTTCCACAGTTGAAAGTTGCGGATCCTGAGGGAACTGATTTCTGGTGAGGTGGACCTCCTCCCTTTGGCTCATCACTGAAGTAAGGGGGTGGTCTCCCTTGCCCCCCTCATTATTATGTGTTACTCTTTCAATACATTTCCCCCCATTCGGTTCATCTTATTCTGGTTCTACCTTTGAGTTGGCCTGTTCTTCTACAAATTGTTCTTAATTCAGCAACTATTTCCTGAGCAACTAACTAGTAAATACAGATATTGTCCCACAGTTATTCTAAGATAGCAAATGAAGGGAGTGGACTGACTAGTGCATTAGGTAGGTATGTGAAATGTAAATTTTATATATGTATCTCAAAGAATCTTTGGGATGAAGCACAAATAGGTTTTCCAGGCAAAAGCAGGGTTTGATCCAGGACTCAATGTTAATCATCAGAAAAGAAGGTTCCATACTGAGAAAGTAGCACGAGCAACAGCAGGTTGTGCTTACCATGGTCTTGGGAAACAAATAGTTTGTAATGGCTGGAAGGCAGGAAGGATCCAGAGACAGAGGAGAAAAGTGGGGCGGTGAGTAAACCACAGCAGTCCTTGAAAAACTTGTTCAGGAGCATCATAGGTCAAGGAGAGCAATTGCTCTTTTATAAGCAGGTGAGAAAGAGCCATTTAGGAAATAGTGCCATGGTAAAGGACATAAATGAGGCAGAGTGACCAGTGTCCAGAGTAGTGAAGTAACTTAGAAGAAAGGGAATTGTTTCTGTAGAGATGAATATGTCGGGCAGATATAAGAGGTGGAGTGGATGTGGGAGTGGAGAAGAAGCAGGCTTTGAAGGTGACCCAAGGTTTCAAGCCCTTATATGCTGGAGGCAGGGGTTAGGGGAAGACCCAGGAGGAGGGGGTGTTGGGCTGGGAAAGGAGAATCATCACATAGGTCACATTGTATTTGAGGGGCTGGAGGATGTGCATCTGGACATAACCCTGGAAATTCAGACCTGGAGATCAAGAATCTAGTCAGTGTTGAGGGTGAAGATTTGGATGTTGGCAGCATAGGGGTCATATGAAATGGAAAATCTTTTAGCTTCCGTAATCACCTAAAGAAGGGATTGGGTTTTCAGTTGCATGGGTGAGGGAGGGTGTTTTCTGGTGTTTAAATGGCTAGTCCTGATCCTCCTTGGATCCTTGAGATTCCAAGAGAGGAGTACATTAACTCTGTCCTCCTTTACTGAGCATAGCTTTGCCTCTTCTCCCTCAGTTGTCCTGCTTCTAATTCTGCAAACGACAGTTGGAGAGGGTGAATGTGGGCCAACTCAACAGCTGTGTGTTGGGAATCAAGAAAGCATCCGGGATAAAGATACTGTCTGGCTACAGCTGCTGCCAAGATGAGTAAGTGTGTGTATGTATGTGTATGTGTGTGTGTGTGTGTGTGTGTGAGAGAGAGAGAGAGAGAGAGAGAGAGAGCGCCTGACTCAGCATGGAGTGGGTAAAAATTGCTGGCCGACCATTTTTTAACAGCGGTAAATTAAATATTCTTTAAAAAGTTTTACAGTGGCACCTCAGTTCTCAAACTTAATTGGTTATGGAAGGCAGTTCCAGAAGCAGTTTGTTCAAAAACCAAATCATTTTCCCATTAGAAATATTGAATCAGAATAAAAGGGTTTGTGGATCACAAAACTTTGTGAACCAGTTTTATTCCACAGCTGAGACATTTTTTCTGTGAACAACTTGCTTGAGATGGAAGACATTCAAGAACCGAGGTTTGACTGTAATTCTGTACCAAAGATGATTTTACTTGATATTTTATTCCAATTTCTGGTCATTAGAAAATCATGAATCTACTTTCAAGATTCTCTGATGGCAGGTGACTGCCCATGCACACATTCATCCTGGCCACACAGGCAGTGGAACATGCTAGAGACTCTGGACTGGTAGAAACTACCACAGGCAGGTGCCTCAAGGAGGAGCACAGGGATCTAGAAATACCTGGAAAGATGAAGAGTTTGAGAAAAGGCTGTTGTCACCAATCCCTGCTGAGGAGAGGCCTCTTCCTGGAAAGTGACCAGGGATTTGTATGTGTAGTTTTGTTCCTGGCCAAACAAACAGAACCCTTGAGCTGGGTAATTTGTTTCTAATGATAGTTTGGGTTACTCCTCATAATAACCAAATGTTTGCCTGCAGAGGCCAGTCTTCAGGCCTCAGAGAAGCATGACAAACATCCACCGAGGAGCCAGGAAGCTCCTTGCTAGTTGGCTCTTTTCCATTGCTGCCTCTTCTTGCTGGGAAAGGGCTAAAAGTAATTGTTCCACAGTGTATGGGCTTCTTCAGCCTGGGGCTGTCTCTTTGTCCACTCTTGGTTCTTAAATGAGCTGTGCCACCCCAGTCCACAACTAGGGACATTTGGCAATGTTGAGAGGTTTTTGATTGTCATGGTAGAGGGGAGGACGGAATGCTATTGACATCTAGTAGGTGGAGGTGTCCATGATGCTGCTAACATCCCTCCGTGCACAGACAGTCCCCCACCAATAATGAATTATCTGGCTCCAAATGTCAGTTGTACCCTGTAGTTCCGGCCAACTCGAACTAAAACCCTCACCAGTGGTGTTTGTTCCCAACAGTGAGTTGACAAACCATCCAGTAGGTAGATGCTGGTAAAACAGCAACTTCAGGGTGGGGGGGAAGGGGGAGGCTTGTCAACTTACTTTGTATAAATACTATTACTGTATTTGATATCAAGCTATCAAGGTGATGTCATTAATGTGGAGTTGGGGAAACTTGCATAGAATAGGCTGTCACTAGCCAGCTCCAGACGTTCACTCAGGGCCCGTTAATTCTCAGATCTCAGGAACAGCAAGCAGACCAGCACACTTTCCCACACATGGTCATGGCTTTCGGTGTCATGCCAAGCCATACTGGGGCCTAAGGTAAAAGGAAAGATCAGTGATACTGATAGTGTCTTTATTCAAAATTTTGAAGTTTTGTTCATCATAGCTTATTGTATTAATTTTGGTTTTTAAAAATATTGCATTGTATTATTTTATCTTTATTTTCCCTCCTCTTCCTCCTTTTATTCTCCTTTTTCTCCCTCACCAATCCCCTACTTTTTTTCCTTGCTATTTATGATGGACTGCTTAAGCTACCAGAGCCAAATTATACAGGCTCAAATTAGCAAATTGTTCTATCACTTAATAACCATGTATGACTCTGAGCAAATGCCTGACATATATAAGTGCTTGCTGTTTTATACATATTTATACTTTTTTGCTAAAATATATATATTTGCTAACAAATGTTGAGTTTTTACTTTGTGTTGGGACTTTACTAATCATTTTATAGACATTATATCATTTAATCTACATATGTGCATACACACAGAATGTGAGGTTTATGGGTGAGGAAACTGAGGCGCAAAGAGTTTAAATAATGTGCCCAAAGTCACAGCTAACCTGTGGTGGGGCTGGGATACACAATCAATTCTATTTGGTTCTAGAGCCTGCCCTCCTGAGCCTCAAGTCATACATATTTTTGTGAGTCAAGCCCCCACACTGCTTTCTCACTGCCAGCGTGGTGGGTCTGCATTAGGGCCCCCGTCACTGTGAAGATCTTTAGGAACCACTGGTGAAGTCCTGTGAGCCACTCCCAGGAACAGTGCTGAGACCTAGGATTTGCATCCAGCTCAGTGCGCATCTCCACAACGCAAAGTTGCAAGGTCTGTAATTAATTGGGGAGAATTTTATGCTTCCTAAAGAGAATTACTGAGGAGAGATGAAATCTATACCTGGCAATGGCCCTTTAAGGAAGGAACAAGAGAGAAGTGGTGACGACTGCTCTGGAAGAGCCACAGTTGCTTGAATGTTCTTTCACCAAATTAGAACTCTTAGCAAATTTGAGATTTGTCATTAGCTACCTGGGTATGTAACTCCAGAGGCTCCATTCACAGATTACAATGTAAATGGTACCCTGAAGTTGTGTGACAGGTGATCCTGCTTATGGAAGTTTCTTCAAACTCTGTACAGTTCAAAGCAAAAGAGGACACCAATGAGATTTCTCCCTGAGGCAGATCCCGAATGACATCTACGTTTAAGGAATCTTCACCAGATTGCAAAGATCACAGTGAGAAGCATACTCTGGCTGTGTGGGAGTCTGCTGTTCAGGACAGATGGCCTGACAAATGCTCTTGCACAAGTGTCCTCATTAGATCTGCTTGTTGGTCGGTCCTTCATGATACCCTGCACCTTTCCAGACGGCACATATCCCAACTCTGGAATAATGCTATCTGCCTGGTTGTTTACCAGTTGTCTGCTTGTATGTTCAAGAGGGCGGGACACGTGTTTGTTGTTTGTTTAATAAATCCTCACCTGAGGATATGTTTATTGATTTTTAGAGAGAGAGGAAGCAGGAGAGAGAGAAGGGTAGGGGGAGAGAGAAAGAGAAACATCGGTCCATTGTTTCCCATATGCACCCCAGCTGGGGATCAAACTCTCAACCTGTGTCCTGGCTCTCAACCTGTCCCGTACATTTTGGTGTATGGGACAATGCTCCAACCAACTGAGCCACGTGGCCAGGCCCCATGTTTGTTTTGTTCATTACTATGTCTCCAGCACAAAGCCCAGCACACATAAGCTAACAGTCAGTTAGTTGGATGAATAAAATAAAAACAAAGAGTGAATGAATATGCAAATGGGTGGAGGGACACCCAGATATCAAAGTCAGGGCTGGGTGAGGTCTCCAAGTTTCACTCCCCTTTTCTGAGAAGTTGAAGGCCAGAATTCTAACATAATGCTTAAAGCAGGGTGGGAAAGACGTTAAATCATGACTTCTATAGAAAGGTAACTGTGAAATACAGATGAGACTCTAAATCTTACGGATCACAATTGGAGTCAAAATCAGCTTTCAGATATTCTGTTCACTGTGGAGGACAGCAAGCAATGTAATAACAGCTTTTTGAGACTGCCAACGGTGATAGGAAGTTGTGGGTCTCAAGGGACTCTTCTGGCCTTCACGTCTGCCCCACAGGATGCACAGCTCCTTCTCCCAGGAAAAGACCTTTAGCTGCCCCTCAGGGCAGGCTGGGCCATTGGGCTAGATGTCAGATTTGGGGAATGGGGCTCCCAGACAGAAGCCACAGCAAGTACAACAGCAGCTCCCAGGTTTCTCTAAGGTCTTATTTTGACTTAACACTCCAGGTAGAAGAGAAACCAAAAAGAGGTAGCATAAGCTGAGCAAAATTCAGCTTAAAACTTAGCCTCTAAGATTGTCCAAATTTATTGATAATTGCTGTGAGTTTTCAGTTCACCTCAAGGGCAAAACAAGTTTCATTGATGTTGAAACATAGCCAATTCTTAAGAATTAATTCACCCTCTTTTGAAATGCACAGTTCTTTACAGAAGAAGCACTGCATTTCGGGACTATAAAATGGGCCAGGAGATGAGAAAAGGGTGGTTTAGCTGAGAGGTGGTTTTACTAAGTCAGGATATGGGTGGCTCAGAGAAGCTGAGCTAATAGATGGAGGCAGGCAACTTCACAAGTGGGACTGGATTCTCATTTGATTAATGATGTGCAGGGAAACTTAGCATGATTATTAATGCTTACATGTACAGATGACCTGGGCCCCGTGCTTGCTGTGAGCACAGAACAGGATGTGAAGAATTCCACTGCCTTGTCACCATTTAAAAATATTCTCTCTCCCCTCCTCCGCCCCCTGCAACGCATGTGTGTGCGCGTGTGAGTGTGTTTGGCTTAAGAGTTTCAAGGAAATTGTTGGTAGTAGTTCAGAGGATAAGACATATAATTGTTGTGTTTTGTCTTTCAGCTCTTAGGAGGAAAGTGCATAAGAAGAGATGATTACTGTTTGAAAAGTGTTTTGCAATCCTCTGATGAAAGGTAATGAGAAGTTTGAGATTGATTCCTGGATGTGTGATGATAGCATGCGATTATATTTCAGAGTGCTGCTGGACTATTTCGAATACGTTCTCCTCCTCCCTTTCTAAACAGGATGATCTGTGCTGAGAGAAAAGGGGGAAGGCCTAGAGAGAAGAGGGGATGCTGGAACAAACACTGTAGTATTTTATGTTAACTGGAAGGAAGATAGCCCAAGGACCTGGAGGCCTCTGTGCAGCCATTGCACACCTACAGTGGAACCAGGGCCTCCCTTTGTTGGCAGGGAAGTTTGCACCCCTTCCCGAGCCCTTGCAATATGTACTCAGTTGACTTTTCTGGTGGTCTGTTTGTTCAGGTTTTACCAAAGCAGTTCCTGGCTGGTGTATCATCACAGTGGAAACCACCTTTGGTTTTTTAAGAATTGTTTCTGTTGTAGTCATATTGGAGTAATAATTTTTGTGCATTAAAACCTTTATTATTCTCTATGTGTATGGTACTGCTTTTCTTAGCCCCACATAAGTTCTTCAGCAAAATCTTATTTTGAGAGGAGAGTGCTGGAGTGAGGCCACCTCTCAGACCAGCAGCAGTCTCCAGCTGCAGGATGTGCTGGTTAAGCCTGAGACTAGAGAACCAGCTTGAATTCTGGATCTGCTGCTCCTACCGACAGGGTTTTAGGCCAGTTATTCAACCCCTCAGAACCAGTTTCCTCATTTGTGAGAGAGGATAAGAATAGCATGTACCTCTTTGGATTATTGTGAGCATTAAAAGAATAATTATATTTTGGGTTGGCCAAAAAGTTTTTTCCCCCCATAAGAAGGCTCTAGTGGTGCTTAGTTGTCTTTAACTTCCATTTGAAACAATTTTGTTAGATTGTATTGTGACAGCTGTCATATCAGCATGCATTTAAAAGAAAACTTATCAAAACTAGTGAATTTTGGGGTACCCATTTTAATGTTGAAGATGGAAGAAAATAAACAACATTTTCAGCATATTATGCTTTATCATCCCAACAAAGGTAAAAACACGACTGAAATGCAAAACAAAGATTTATGCAGTGTATGGAGGAGGTGATGTGGCTGATCAAATGTGTCAAAAGTGATTTGTGAAGTTTCATGCTGGAGATTTCTCACTGGATGGTGCTCCACGGTTGGATAGGCCAGTTGAAGTTCATAGTTATGGAATCAAGACATTAATTGAGAACAATCAATGTTATATCACACAGGAGATAGCTGACATACTCAAAATATCCAAATCAATAAAGTCATTCATGAAAATGTGTCTTTTATTTTATGGGAAAAACTAAAAGGATTTTTTGGCCAACCCAATATAATGCTTTTATAAGAGGGCCTAGCATGTAGGGACCACCAGATAAGTGTTTGCTGCTGCTTCTATTACTTCTATTACTACTATTGTTGTTATTATTATTATTTCGTAAGGCTGATTTTCAGCAAGTTATGATTGTTATTGCTATCATTTTAAAGTCTCCTAAGGAAACTAAGTTTGATTTAAATCAAAATGCTTAAGTAGATAGAATTATTTTTGGTATTCTTCCACTTCTATTCTTAGTTTCTCCCTTTTCCTTTTAGCTCTTCCAAATTGTTGACGCATTGCCATGGCTTAAGGTTTTAGTGATGTGTTAAACATATCTCCTATGAGTGTAAGCTACTTAAGGTACAGATACCTACAAGGACAAATTCACATTTTCAGAGGAGACTGGAAGCTTGATACTTTTCTGAATAACAAAATAATAAACCCTACAAACTTCGAGAAATTTGAAGCTGGACCTTAGGAACCATCTAGAATAGGGGTGTCAAACTCATTTTTACCACGGGCCACATCAGCCTTGCAGTTGCCTTCAAAGGGCTTGCAGACCAGCATTTAATCCACTGAGTCACACCAGCCAGGGCAGAACTTTTAAAATTTTTTAGTTCGGTACTTGTAAAACTTATTTGATCACAAAATCTTTTAAAAATTATCTTAGAAAACTCTAATTATATAAAAATATCTTTAGTAAATACTACTGTAATCAAATCCTGTTTTCTTGATTCATGTCTGTATAAAAATTGGTTCTTGATAGGGCAAAACTTGATTCTTCCTGCTTCTGCATAGCAGGAAGAGAATCTAGGTGAGTACATTGGAGCAGATGACTGACAGACAAGGTCCCTTCAGCTCTAAACTTTGGTGATTCATAATTCAGAAAACAAAGAGAAGTTTTTCCAGGATATCTGCTCATAAACTGAAGAATTTAAGTTTACTAACATGAAGGATAGTTAGAATTTAAAACATTATGTATAATAGCTGGTGCTATTTTTCCATGTCTAATTTAAAAGATTGCTTTGAGGGGGTGCAGGGCTGGGTGAAAAGGTGAAGGGGAAAAAACCCCTCAAACGTACAGATCACATAATGGTGATTATCAGAGGGAAAGAGAGGTTGGGGGAGGTAGCTCAGAGTATAGGGGGCATAAATGGTGGTGGAAGGAGACTTGATTTGGGTGGTGAACACACAACACAGATGACATATTATAGAATTGTACACCAGAAACTTATATAGTTTTGTTAACCAATGTCACCCTAATAAATTCAATAAAATGAATGCACCTTCATGGTGTATCTTGAGAGAGAGGGGTAATGGAGTTATTTTTTAAATTTTATTTAGTTATTTTTCAAGTACAGTTTTTTGTCTATTTCTCCCATCCAAGCCTGCCCTGCCCCGTGCTCCCCACCTCCCTCCCATTTCCACCCCCTTAGTTGTCGTCCTTCTGTCCTTCCTATTTGTTTCTCCAAATTCCTCCCCTTTTTTTCCCCGTAAATTCCCTTCCCTCTCCCCTCTGGTCACTGTCCCCTTGTTCTCTATTTCAGTGTCTTTGTTTTTATTCTGCTTGCTTGTTTGTTTTGTTGTTTAGCTTCCTGTTAAAGGTGAGATCATATGGTATTTGTCTTTCAACACCTGGCCTATTTCACTCATCATAATGCTTTCCAGTTCCATCCATGTTGTTGCAAAGGGTAGTAGCTCCTTGGAGTTAGATTTTTTCAAACATGTGGCTCATTCACAGATGGCATTGTTCATTCACAGGAACTTAGCCTTTAAAACCTCTTCCCAGCAACTAAGACTTCCAGTCAAGATGGCAGCATAGGTAAACAGAGTTTGCCTCCTTTCAAAATCACATCGAAATTACAACTAAAATATAGAACAGACAACACTCAGAACCTTCAGAAGTTGAGTTGAATGGAAGTCTGTCAACTATGGAATTAGAGAAACCACATTCACCAAAACTAGTAGAAGGGGTGATGATGCAGAATGGGCTGGTCCCATATCCATGTGCGGTAGATAAAAATTTGAGAGGTTTATTTCAGGAGTGAGTAGTCACAGCCCAACACCAGGCACTCCAGGCCAGGGTTTCAGTGCCAGGAGGATAGCGGGGATTGAGTCAGTGGAAGAAACTTCTGGAGTCCCAAGCAGTTCTCCTTAATGAACCTAAACACGGACATAACTCGGATACACTCCCTCTGAGCTACAGCATAAGGATAGCAGCTTGAAAGGTGCCAGTTACACGCAGGGAGGAACTGAAGTGACTGGCATCAAGGTGAGGGCCGGGGGACAGCTTTCTCTCAGACAGAAAGGTGGGTAGAGGCCATTGTCTCTTTCTGAGCTCCTCCCCCATCACCAGAGCCACAGAACTGTCAGGTAGGTGCCCCATCAGAGACTCTGTCAACAAGACTAACACTGCCCTGACCTGGATATCCCCTTAAACTCCATCCCACCCAACTTACAGACCCACCCAAACTTAATCTTGACTTTTCCATGTGAATATCTAGTCATGGATCATGCTTCACAACTTCCTAAATCCCATCAAACAAGCAACAGCTGGTTTCAGTGATGCCCCAGCACTTGTACCTCTTGTTAAAGTGGCTCTAGGCCAAGCACTAACAGTAGCCAGCCTAGATTTATAATTTGGCTTTGTCTGGGAATCTGTAAGCCCTGTATAAGTAGCAGACATCTCAGACTGCTTTATAGCTCATGCAGGGTAGCCTCAGACAAAACACAGGTGAGAACTGACATAGCCTGTACCATCTGGGAAATTCCCAGGGCCTGCACACCCAGTGGGCAACTACAGACTGCATCAGAGGACCATCACCCTGCCCTTACGCAGCTGATCCTCCATGGAAGGAGGGGTTGGTGGTTAGTGATCACAGCTATTCCTTGGAGCTGACTGGCCTTGGTAAATCTCTCCAACTGACTTGTCAATAGCAATCAAGGCTCAACTACAAGAGGAGAGTATACTCAGTCCACATGAAGGGAGCACCACAAATACCCAGCTTGGGTTATAAGGAGGCTGTGCCATGGGACCCTACAGGACACCTACTACATTAGGCAACACTATCAAGACAGGGAGGCATAGAAGCTCTACCTAATATACAGAAACAGACACAGGGAGGCTGCCAAAATGAGGAGACAAAGAAACATGGTCAAAATGAAAGAACAGATCAGAAATCCAGGAAAAGAACTAAACAAAATAGACAAGCAATCTATCAGATGCAGAGTTCAGGAATTATGCCACAAAAGTTCTCATGCCCCTGTTCTTACCCTTGACAGGCTTACAGTGTAGAAGAGTAGATGAGCACTAGAAATAATTTCAATCCAATGTGACAAAGACTCCAAAAGAGTCACGTATGAAGATCAGGGAGGCAGTAATGGAGGAAACATTTGAATCAGGTGTCAGAGAATGTGTTGGCTGCTGACTTTTTCAATGATAAAATTACTTTTTCTGCTTAATGTCAACCAGCTGGCTAGAAGGGGAAATGTAAACCATTAACTCGTTTTGGATTAACTCAGGATCTAACTGACAGAACCAGAACCTGTTAGCTAAAGGGTAGACGATTATTTCAAGTAATTCAATAAATATTCAGGCCTTAATTATTTCAATTACTGGAGGACAACACCATCTGGAAAGTAGATTCTCTAGAACTTACTCTTAAGTTCCCCTGATATAAAGATGTTCTAAA